CCTTGGATCTTGCCCCCATCTGTAAGGCTTGAAAAGATTCTTTCTCCACCAGTGCACTGGCTTGCACTCCCTCCGCTGAGGCGGCAGCCATGGCTGGGGTGCTGGTTTCAGATGCTTCTTCCTTCTCCATGTTGAGATCTTCCCCAAGTCTTTGTCAGACTATTCCTCGACTTAGGGATGATGGCTAGAGTTCAGGACCCCAAGGTGGTTAAGGTAGAAAGAATGTAATTTTGGGGTTAATGTTATGGTTCCAATATATGAAACCCATCAAAAGAACTTCTAGGCAAAATTCTTCCTTAAAGAACATTTATTCAGGAAACAAAGTATCGGTACTACATAGTTGAACCCAAAAACTAAATTCCTTTCCCCCAGATACAAAGTAACAAAGTACAATTCCCATCCACAATAAACTGTCATAAAGCACATTCCTCAATTAGTTTAAAGCGCAGGCTTTCTCCTCAGCTCCTCAGCCCACCAAAACGTTATCAGCTTGTCCTTGGGTTCCTACAGCAGCATTATTATTATGGCTAGCTGAGCTTACATCCCAACCCCCTGCCCACTGCATCTGATTTCTAAAAGCAAGAAAAAGCATGTTAAAGAAGAAGAGAAAATGTCTGCATTGTCATCAGTTGTCAGAGTGGGAACATCCAATGTTAGCAGTGTTGACATCTAGCATAACAAGGATCTCAGTAATAACAATGTAACATAAGCTACTATAATGGTATGTTTTAGCACCATAACATACTTCCATACTGTGGAAGTATAATAAAATATTACAATCTATGAACTAAAAATACATGTCACCTAAAGCAAGATAGTTAATTTTTAATAAATTGAAAGTGATGAATAAAACTGAAGTGATTATACCTATGACCACATGCTTTACTTTCATTTTGGTAACACAGAATTTGGATACTGCATAATATATAAGAAATTTAGAATGTTTTAAAAGATGGTTCACATAAAAATTGTCTGCCCTTCATGGAAATTTACATATTAAGGGCAGAATGTAAGCAGACCTAATATCCCTCTAGAATTACAGCATAGCAATACTTATGAAATGGATTTGATCTCCTTATTACCATGTGGGCAGATATGCTTGGTTAAGGGGGTTTGGGAATATTTGCCTTGCAGCAATGGAGATAGTAAAATGTTATGTCTAGCTTTGAAAAAAAATGTATCCTCAGTTTGGGGAATGTTAGATTTTATAGGTACCTTATTGGTCCCCTAATGCCTTAATTTATCAAATATTTGCCATCCTAGGGCAAGCTATTAACTTTGGTCTAAAATTCCATATCATTTATGTTTCGGTGAGCAGTTGTTTGGCTTAGTAATACTCTAAAGTACAACCATATAATGCCAATATTTGTCTATGACTTGTTTCCAAGGAGAAGGTAAATTATCTATTCAAACTAGAGAAGCTAGGTCAACTGGAAAGAATTGCATTTTTAGCTAGTAGTTTATCTTCCTCCTCCAAGCCTTGATCTGGATTGCAGGCATTTCTTTTTCGAGCCATTTTTCCATTAGGGGCAATGAAGACTGAGCCACAAAATTTTGTCTGCACTTATTCCAGGTTATCTTTCTTCACATAAATTCCTTTTTATGCTCTGTAAAAAGTTTTAAATGCTGCAGGATTAGATGAAATTTAACACTGGTATATATTAGATTTTATTTAGTTCAGATGAAATGTTATACCCCCTTGTTATTATAAAATAAAAAAGGTCTGAACATACCAAACTTTATAGTATATTTGTTATACTGTTATTTGTTATTTGTTAAATTTTATGTCAATCAATTTTGAACAATGATTTTGGTTTACCTTTGTAGCTAGAGTTTTGCATTATTGATCTTGGACAATAAATTCCTTGTCATTTCCAGGTTATTTCCCACTTATAACTCCTTTATGCCAACAGTTCTCAACAAACTTAGTTTTAGTTTGTGAAGAACATAACTTATGTTCATATCTGTCCTCTTTCATCTAAATCATAATATTCAGGATTGAAAGCAGTGTGTGTTTTATTGGGGCCATGGTTGAGTCTAAACTGTTGCCCTTGTTCTTTTCGACTCTTCCCATTGGTGCTGAATCCAGGAGAAAGAAGGGTTCATTCAGGTTTGGAGTCTGCCTTTCTGCTTCATGCAAGAATCCATATTAAACATCCTGGCAGATAATTCTCTAAGCCATGATTGATTACATCCAGTGAAGGTTGATTTCTGTGGCAAAAAAATGGAAGGCCTTTAACGTGATGCAGCAAGGGTGCTCCTATATTTTTGGTACATTGTATTTCAATATTATGTATGCTTTGCCCCATGCATGACATACTACACAGAGGTGTAGATTGAGGTCAATTAGAATCAGAAGTAAAAAAAACTCTAGACAATAGCTGCAGTTTCATGTTTGTACCTGCTATTTTGACTTTTTTGACCACAACCCATTTTTCAACTTTTTAAAATATTATATTATGATATGATATATTATATTATTACTTTTTATTTAGTCAGGCATTGTAATTGTTTGAATTTGTTAATTTGTTTATCTTAATTGTGACACATTTTCATTATGTTATGTAAATGTTTAATAATATTGGTGTACTTCCCTGGTATGGATAACAATATAAGATGGTTTTAAAAAGTTTAAATATAATCAATCAACAAATCTTTTGTGTCATATTTAGTTTTAGGTATTTTCTTTCCTGTAATAAGTATTTTTGTGCACGTACTCTTCATCACATCTTTTATCAAATAGTAAACAGAAGAATAAAAGCAGATATTCATAGACACACAGATACATACATGAACAAAGAGAAGACATAAAAGGAAAAATGTATTTGTTAGCAACATTAATAGTTGCCAGAAAACTACACACCAGTTTTGTTTTGCCTCTGGCTCTGTTTTGATGTATGCTGGTTATATGCTGGTTTCTTGTGTGTTTTTAGTTCAATGCTGGATTTTTCATCAGATTTTATGGTCCTATTTCATAATGTTCATGTATTAAGTTGCTGTTTAAACATTGCCTTCAGCAATTAAGATAAGATTCTATTTTTTTTAAAAAAAGAAAAAACATGCTTGTCCAGGAATTGAAAGTAGTCTTTTTCTTTTTCTTCTCATTTCTTTTCTTTTTTGTTAATAAACACAGTAGAGTAATAAACTGAAAAATGTATATCATGAACTACAATAGAAAATGTAAATGTTTTCCATAAAATTGAATGAAATGTAGATTCAATTTGAAAATATAATACTTAATATTTCAGGAATTATTTTATCTCTGAATATTTTTTCTACATAGGACCATTTAAAATATCAGTATCATTTGAACTTGGCAATAATTACCTCTGAAAGCATTCTAGGAAAGTTTCATAAGACAATTTCAGAAGTCATATCCCAATTCCAGAAAATGCATATTTTAGAATGTTTGCAATAGATTAATGAGAATATTGAGAGTATTTACTCAAGAATCAAATGTTCTTTGAAAATTCAAACAATGGGAAAAACGTTACAGGGATATTAAGCTTTTATCATAACAAAAGGAATGGGTAAACATTTGTTTACATTAATGCAAAATAAAGGTTGCCAGAAGCAACACAGGGACATGTAACATTGCTGGTGGCATCCCTAGGTTCTCAAAAATCAAATTAACATTCATTTAGTAAAAGTGGCTGAAATTTCAGATCACCATATCCCATGATTTGATGTTCTAGCATGAAAGGCTAGAAGAGTTTGCTCTAGAATGGCAAGAACTTGTTAGATGTTTAATAGTAATTGTAAAATAAGCTTAGATGGTATAATTTCAGGAGACTTTGGCCATTTGTTTTTGTTTTGTTTTGTTTTTTGCTGTTGTGAAAAATTACAAGTAGTACATGGTCTCCATAAAAGTTGCCAACTTCTGGTTCCAAGTCAACATTTGGACTAACCTAGAATAACCATTGTACTGCATTCAGGACTACATAACAATAGTATCACAGTGTTTCATTTACCCCATAATTTTTAATAAGTGACTCAGAATCATATACTAATAATATATTAGATATATTCAAAAAAATATATTAGCAAATGTATATGTCAGGTTCATATATTGTTGCTTCAGAAGAACAGGTACGAATATAGGAATGATAATTCAAACAATTTATCATTAGTGCTTACAGAATAATAATATGTTAATGATTTTTAGCTAATATCCCGAGGAAGGTAACGCCCAGTTTCTCTTCTTATTGCATAATTGCCTTATTGTCCAAAGACACATTAATTACCTGCATTAGCTGATCATGCAGTTCAATAGAATACATTTGCCTTACCCTGGATGTTCCCAAGTGTTAAACTGCTGAAAATTTTTTTTATATTGGATTAAAAATATCTCTTATTTCAGGATCATACTTTACATTTGCTTCTCCTCCCTCTTTTTTAAAAAAAAACTTATTCTGTAATGATCTTTTTGACAGCCTATAAATTACACTGTTCTGCCCTTTGCAAGACCTTCAAAGGACAGACCTGGTATGAGTATGAATATGAATATAAATATGAATACACATATTCCCATACAAGCATGCACACATATATATTGCATCTCTGACTAAGGCCTAATATCTTCTAGCGAATTCATATAACTAAAGCAGATCTGGCCTATGTAATAGCGTTTGTAATGAGAAATCTAAACAGGGAATGGCAGTGAGGCATGACAGGAATGTGTTTCCATTGGAGAACTCAGTATAGAGAAAAAGTATAAGCAAGCCCATGTCCAGAAGGCCTTTTCAGCTGGCCAAGACGGAAGACTAATGTTATTGTACATTTGTTGTCACTGTGCCAGCTCTCCCTCACTGATTTGTTTTCTCTTATTTTTCTTTCCTTTCTTCCTTCCTTCTTTCTTTCTTTCTTTCTTTCTTTCTTTCTTTCTTTCTTTCTTTCTTTCTTTCTTTCTTTCTTTCTTTTTTCTTTCTTCTCTCTCTCTCTCTCTGTCACTCTCTCTCTCTCTTTCTCTTCATCCCCCCTTCTGCTAACTGTTTGCTCAGGTGGACAGTGACACCATTTGGAATGAGCTGCATTCGTCCGGTGCTGCACGCATGGCTGTTGGCTGTGTCATCGAATTGGCTTCCAAAGTAGTCTCAGGAGAGCTGAAGGTGAGGTCTGGGTTGCATTGTGTGTGGGAAAACTAGGAGAGAAGCTGAAAGCAATGTTGTTCTGAGATTAGGGGGAGGGAAGGGAGAAAGAAGGATGGGGGAATATAGAAGGTCACTAAAGAGAGATGATCAAAATGGCCCTGCTTGTTTTATTACTTCATCAAGGAGAGTACATTTTACTATATCAACTTCATCCTTATCATCAATATTATTGTTGATATTATTATTTGTTATCATACCACATAATTGTTTACACAATTATTGTCCAAGTGAAAATGACTCAGAGGATGTACAGATCTGGCATGCAATTCCACAATTCCCTTTTGAACCTTTTTCTTTTAATCTTACAGAGTTTTTAAGTACAGCTTCAAAATGCCACCCAAAGTGAATAAAAGTAAATAATGTCTTGTAGGCTTTGAAGAAAGAATGATATTGTTGATTAGATGGTTAATGGTGCAAAGTATGTCTTTGATAGAAATGGTCTCAGAGCTCAATTTCTGAGCTTCCTTTTCACATGATTTGAAAAGAATGAGGTATAAATTCTGACTTACTGCCAGTCTAAACAATTTAGAAAATCTACCTTTTTGACAGATATTAACTTATTATCTGATATTTTAGAAAATCTATTTAGATGTTTGACTGTACAGGTGTATAGACTGAATATTCAGATGCACCAAGCACTACTTGATGGCAACATAATGGTTTACAAACCTTTAAGCCAGTGAGTTTGGATTTCTCATGGTAACCATATTCAAGAAACAAGGTTTACAGCTTCCTCAGAGTACATAGTTTAGCTGGAAGGTTTTCCATACAGTATTAGGAGATTTTTAAAATAGATCTGGTTCAATTTTGACCATAAGAAGATGTCACAGGAGAGGTATAACTGCAACCAAAATAGCATTCTCTACTTCATGTGAAATGTCTATTAGTGCCATTAACCTGTTGTAAATGTTGATGCTTCTATGATGAACATGTCTAGATGAGTATGGACATTCACACTGCTATGACTATATCACTTTCTATTGCCTCCCACTGTCTAATGTGACCTAGGTACCCTTCAGATTTGTGGACTTCAACTTCCAAGATGGCTCCAGTAATGGGGAATGTTGAAGTTCACACTTGTGAAAGGTATCTAAGTTTGGAAAAAAAATATGCTTACCATTCCAGGAGGATAGAAGAGGAAAAAGTAAAATAGCAACCATAGTTGCCAACCATGACATCATTTTACAGTCTAAGGTGAACATATTTAAAATTATTGTAAACTCAAATAGATTTGTGCCTATAATTAAATTTCTGCATGATGGAAATTCTGAATATGTGTAAAACTAAGAGCCATGGTTGAATTGATGCAGTGCTAGTCCTAAAGAAACCCTGGGCCTATTGCTGTCACAGATTTGGGCACCATCCAGCACAACCTGAACTATATTAAGTATTTACTTAAATCTTTGTGATTTCAAAAAGACAAGCATAACTAGATTTTTCTCAATAGTGACTGTCCTGACTTTGAGTGAATCATAATATTTCACATTCAATGCACCATTTTTAAAGGACATAGTAATGTCATATTGCATTGTAAGAAAATAAAGTGCATAACACAATAAAATATATCATGCTGTAAATAAACAAGTTATGGAAAGCATGTAAAACATAGTTTTTTGCTATTCTTTTCAACCTATATAGAAATTGTCATGCTGGCTGGGGAATTCTGTGAATTGAAATACATACATCTTAAAGTTTACGAGTTTGAAATATATTGCTCTAAGTCAGTGGTTCTCAACCTTTTTAATGCTGCGACCCCAACTGGTCGTAAGTCGAGGACTAAACCGGTCGTAAGTCGAGGACTAAACCAGTCGTAAGTCGAGGACTACCCAACCGGTCGTAAGTCAAGGACTTTCCCTGCCCGGGAGCGCCGCACATGTGTGGCTCCGCCCCCTCCGCCGGCCAAGGCGTAGCTGGCAAGCGGCAGAAACGGAGCAGGCCGACCACCAGCTGGCCCAGCCCAAGGGAGGTAAGGCACCCGCCGGAAAAGGGGAAAAAATGGCGGACAAAAAAATGGCGGACAGCCTTGCTTGGCGACCCCCGTGAAATGGTCGATCGACCCCAAATGGGGTCCCGACCCACAGGTTGAGAACCACTGCTCTAAGTAATATAATCAAGAAGGATAAGATGGCTTAAAAGGAGGGATGTGATTGCATTCAGTTTGGAAGACTTTAAATGGAATGTTCTTCTCTGCATCCCCTATCTAATCCAACCTATTTTCAAAATCATTGTTCCAACAACTTCTCCTCATCCTTCCCCTCTTCCCAATTTTTGGTCCTACTCTGCTTCATTTTTTTTAAAGTTAACCTGTTGGCAATCAGACATACAGACAGAGAGAATTCCTTTATGTCACATCTTTCCCACTTTATGCTTTGTAAAGAGTAAAAATTACACTGTAAATGTCTACTGTGCTTTTTCATATTTTAACCATTACACAATCAACTAACTCTGGACAATTTCATCTGAATATTTGCACATACCTTGTTTCTCCAAAAATAAGACCAGGTAATTTTTTTTTTTGCCTCCAAAAGAGGCACCAGGGTTTATTTTCGGGGGATGTCTTACTCACCTTCAGCACTGACAACCCCACCCAGCAGGTCCACTGCAGCCGAAGAGCAGCTTCATTCTGCAGTTGCATTCTGGCCTGCATTTTGCAGTCAGCCTTTTCCAGAAGGCCTCTGTGGCCGAGTCCCGAGCTATGGATTCAATCCATAGTTCGGTGCTCGACTATATAGGCCTTCCAGAAAGGCCTGTGACTGAGAAATGCAGGCCTGGCTGCAGAAGACGCCTCAGAAGAAGTGGGCTAGAGAGGAGAGGCCTGGCTGCAAGGTAAGGGAGTGCGGGGCGCGTGGGGTAGATTCATACCCCTACCCTAGCTTGATTTTTAGATGTGTGCCTTGCCCCAAAACTAGGGCTTATTTTGGGGGTAGGGTTTATATTAGGCCCACCCCCAAATATCAAGCTAGGGCTTATTTTCGGGGTAGGCCTTACTTTTGGGGAAACACGGTATATTATAAATTGTGTTTCTGTGGCTCTTAAAGAATTGCTTCCAAAGTTAAGTTTCATTTATTTTGGAAATTTGCTGTATGTACCCTGAGCTATCATAGTTGCCAGGTTTTCCTCAGAAGTCTGGGGTACAGATCCTTGACCTTTTCAAAAGTTATGTTCAGTGTGATAGGCTACACCTAAGGCAATTGGTTTCATCTCTTTTAGTTTAAATTAAAAGTGTAGGTAAATGAATATTCTGTTTTTTGTTTTGACATTTCCCATTTCTTGGATCTTCCCATTTTGTGTAGTGCAGCATTGGCAAGGGCGCTTAGAGGCAAAATGTAGACCGAGATGAAGAAAAAATTGTACTAAATTAAAAAATAAACACCTGAACTAAATAGTACCTAGTTACTGTTACCGCAATATTTGTTTTTCAAGTTCTTCAGTGGCTGCAGGAAACCATCATTTAATTGGAAGCTACACAGATGCTGAAGACTTTAAGATAGATCTGGAGGGAAAGATGTTCCTCTTCCAGGGGACATGCATATGCTTTTCTCTTCCCTTTAGCCATCATTACTATGAAATCACCTTTTAAAGTTTATATGCCTACCACAAATGCTTATTTATTCAGAGATTGTGTCTCCTGTGTTTTAATGGGGTAGTGCTTTTCTGAAAATGAAATTAAATAAATGAAAAAGAAAATATAATACTGAAATATAAAAGGCAAAATAAAATCAATATAACAGCATTATTTTAAAATGAAGTTAAGTCATGCCAGGGATAAATTAATTCTATTAGTTGGCAATAAAGGCCAGCTTTTTATTTAGACACTTAAAGTTTTGACTGGATCCTTATCAACTGCTTAAAAGTAGTAGAAGGAAAAGACAGAAAGACAGATAAAAAAATTGGTAGCTATAACCAACCATGGGAATTCTATTATCAGGACACAAAAAGGATGTCCTGATAAAACCACTCCAAAAATCTCTGAAAATCTGGAACGAACTGCCCCCAGAAATCAGGGTGATCCCTGATCTCCCTTCCTTCCGCCGCACCCTCAAGACATGGTTGTTCCAGCTTGCGGGACTGGCCTAAGGGATTTTAAAGGGGTTTTAATTACTTTTAATCAGATTAGTTTAAATATTTCTTTTTAATTAATTTTAAAGGTGTATTGTATTTTTGTATTTTATCTAATTGTTAGCCGCCCTGAGTCCGCAAGGAGAAGGGCGGGATATAAATGTAATTAAATAAATAAATAAATAAATAAATAAAATCTTACCAGTCTGAATTACATGAATCAAAACGTTTGGCCAATCTGATCCATGCTGTTTAAAAAATAGAGGCCCACAAATATAGTATTATTTAAAGTTTTACCTAGAACCACAAAAGAATCATATGCTTTGGTTGAATAATCCTGTCAAAAATTTGGTTGAGTATTTGATATAATATGCAGAATGCTTGTTAGTTTAACTTATTTACAAGGCTTAAAAGAAAGATTTCACATTTCCATATTTTTATAAAAAAATAGATTGAAGTTGGGAAAATGAGCATTGTCTGTCCTTACCTGTAACTACTACACCTTTCCTGATGTAACATAATTTGAAAGTGCAGTTAGATAACAATTATTAGACATACTTTATGTGCAGTTGACACAGCCAGGATTTTCTGCCTTTAGTGCTTATCTTGGTAGATTTATGGTGCCTTCTTGTTGTGCTTTACTCTATGTAATGAAAGCTTTAAAAAAACAAAGTTGTCAGTCATTCTATTTTTGTATGGATGCTTGAAGTAGCTGCAATAAAATAACATATATAGCATGAATGGTGGAATTGTCTTAATCCATATTTATTTGCAATCCGTTTGATGAAAATCTAAGAATGCTATGTAAAACATTGTGTAGAATTTAATTTTGTGGATGTTGGTAAAGGATTCTTTTCAGTCTTATAGGCTGCATTATCACATTAGGCTGCATTGTCACT